TCCTTCAGAAGTCGATATATCAGGGGATACATTACACGTTATGAATATGCCGTGAGTGTGCACCCCTCCAAATCATCACTAGCTGCGCCTCTAACCACTGCACTAGGCAATACGCGAATTGGACCGATCATTCGTGGTATCTCCGATTCCGTGGCTACCTTTTCACACAACCAGCCATCTCAAACAAGACTATCGAAAACTATCTTAGCACACTGCTGGGGTTCCCTGCGTGGACTTTGAAGGAGGACCAGTACTGGCATGCCATGCAAATGGCTCGTGGGTTATTTGTCCTGCTGAAGCCGAACATGCGGTTATCTTGGCGCCTCTTGCCCAAAGGCGGCTTGCACCGAGCCGTGCCCGGCAGAGGCAGTCGAATTTGGCCTCCCGTCAAAAACCAGGTGATCGCCCCGAATCTCACGGATTTTGTAGGGGATTATGATTTTTTCACGAATATAGGCGGGTTACTAGACGACCACATCCGCCCCGGAAATTCGCTAGACAATGTACAAATCGTGCACCTCCACAGCAACGCGACGTCGGATGTTGGAATTCCCATGTCTTACCTCGTTCCACCTTCAGGTATTACCATTGTCAGCGACATTGACGATGTGCTTCGTGTATCAACAATTTACCACATCAGTCAAGGATTTAGAAACTTATTGACGCGACCGTTCTATCCCTGGATGAACATGCCCCAAATCTTCGGAAACTGGTCCAAATCGCTACCAAATGCCCATTTTCACTACTTGACCACTGCGCCAGACCAAATGGCCCAGAGCTACATGGATTTTATCTACGACAAATATCCCCATGGAAGTTTCGACTTACGAGCGGTGAATTTCAAAAAATTCCGCTCAAGCTGGTCGGTTCGCAGTGGGCTGCTTGAATTGGTGCTCCAAAGTTACCCGAAACGGAAATTTGTTCTCATCGGGGATAATAGCAACCACGATATAATGAAGAATTACCCGCTACTGGCACTCAAATACCCGGACCAGATCAAGTGCGTGTTCGTGCGCAATGTCTCAGCCACAGATAGCTCCTTTCGATGGCCCTACACTACCAAATATTTCAAGCCACTCAACCGGGAACAGTACATGATCTTTCGATATCCAGTAAGTTTAGCCCATTTGATCATGCTGGAACTAGGTCGTACTGAGCATGATGTTAGGATGATCTGACGAATCTTGATATCGAAAATGGCCGATGCAACAACAAATCCGTGCCCCAGCATCTTGCTTTCCGCTGGCAGGGCCTCCCATGGCGGCCATGAGTGCTCGTACTTGTGGTAAGGGGTCGTTGCTTAGCCTATTCGGCACCGTTTCATTGTTCAGGAAGGATAGTAACGATGGTTAAATCATGACAACCTCTGTAGAATTAAAAGGAATAGTTACTCCGTCCAATTCCAATGTGTATAATAATAGCAGTTTGTTCATCGAGGATTTTGTGTTGAGATGGAGTGCGCTTTTGGTGCCAAGGCTGTTAGTCATCCGTTGCTGCCTCAAAGACAAGCTAAACTGCTTTTGGTTCAACCACAACAAACCAGTGCGGCTTGGCATCATGACACCAGATCAAAGGGGCTCCCTCCAGGTTCCGCTCCCTTTACAAGTCACTTTGCAATTCGAATCGCCATCTACTGTGGAATACATTGTGGAGTATACATTTTTTTTATCGATCTCTGAGACAGCCAGTGCTGTAATGCCCCGACCACCCGCGAAAAAAGGTCGCGCGCCGCGTCAAAACGCGCTCCCCAACGCGCCACCGGCCGCCACTAGCAACGAGGATGAGCGCAACTCAAGTATTTCGAATAACGGGCGGAGGAATAAGCGGCGAGGGACCGTACAGGAGACATCCAAGTACGACAAAATCACACAAGCAACGCCTGCCCGGTCGAATCGGCCTATTCCAGAGCGACAGAGTTCCGCCAGAACCAGAAGACCAAATCAGACGCCAGTCACAAAGCAAGCACAATCGGATTATGGGTCAGCAGCCTCAGCCGTGGCCGGGGGCCATGCTGGCAGAGGACGTTTCTCGGTCGGACCCAAGCGCGGAGATGCTAGCTCGTTGCTGCAAAAGATGGGCGTGGGGACACCTGCGTTTGAGAGCTCGATGTTGAGTGCGTTTCGGCCGAGGCCCAGACAGCACAGTATCTTACAATTGATGGCGGATGACGAATCGTCGGATTTTGGTGACGATGAGGACTTTTTAGGAAGCTTTGAGCCCGAGGATGAGTCGACGCCGTTGCATCTGGGGAAGAGGAAGACGATATCAAGGGGGGAGGTGATTTTAGGTGGTGGTGATGGTTCTGGTACTTGTGTTGACGATGTTGGACGGATTCCCGGGTCGCCAACGAGGGGAGATGTGAGTTTAGTTACGGCGTCGGGGTCGCCGGTAAATATCAAGAAAAGGAAGATAATGGTGCTGGTTCCGCCGCCCAGCAACCGTCTTGCACGACGCGAGCCGTCTCCGGAAATGGAGTCGATTCCTAACCACGAAATTGGTGTTGAGGTGGTTGAAGAGACTGAACACAGCCCATCAGAAGATGATGATGACCTGCTGCCTCCAATGGGACGACCTACACGCGAGATGTCGCCAGAGGCTTGGAGCCAAACATTAGCACCGCCATTGAGTAGCCCGACCACGTCTCCCAACAAATCGCCCGAGCGACCGAGGTCACACGCAAAAAGTCGAAAGAAAAAGGGCAAACCAGATTCCGAAGCAAAACTACTTGTCTCTACGGCCGCTTTACAAGCGAATCTTCTACCGCAACGGCGACGACGAAGGCGGCGCCTGAATGGAAATGGTGAATTTGACGTGTTTGACGACAACGATGGTTCTTCAGCGCGAAGTCCATCGCCCGAACTTGCGCCGGATGAAGACGAATTAAGCTACTTGCCAATCCGGCCAGGGCGCAAAGCGTCTACCAAGAAACTAAAAGAAAATAAAACCGCATTGAACAGGTTGCCCAAACGCGGTAAACGACCTGGAGCCAAGGAGAAATCTACGGACTCTAATGAGCGCAAGCCATCAAAGCCCTCTAGAGACGGAGCGCGAGTCACGTATTCGCGCCAACGACCGGCGAACGCGGAGGCTGATGCTCTGAGTGTCCCCGAGGGAGACGTCGAAGACGCAGGTACAGAAGGCGGGCGTTTTGTCAGTGAGGAACTTGTGCGTCAGTCTGCGAAATTTGCTGAGGTTGACCAGTGGTCCATTGATTTCGAAGATGTTGTAGTTGAACAGGGCAGTTCATACAGATGATTTGTGTATATATCAAAACGGAGGATTGATTCAAGGCGCTGGGGTGCGTTCGGGGAATTTGACCCCTCACTGTAGGGATGATTCGACTTTTGTACGGAGTACGGAGTCCGGAGTATTTCGATGCATTTTATTTTCTCGGATTCAATAATCATAAGGCCCCTGATAAATATCCGCGGATGCATTCCCGAGTCTCGCAGTGCAAATCGTTATCCGACATTAACCACGGTTAGCCATCAATGACAAACACCGCCTTTGATGAGGGGCATTAGGAGCATTCACTTACTTATAATTCCGTCGTCCCTCAAAACAATTGGCAGGCGAACACTGAACTCGTTCATCTCTGACCCTGCACGAAAGCACGCAGCAAAGAGCCCCTTTCAATTGCCCGCCATGGACCCCGCCGTCGATAAGATTCTTGCTGGCAAGTACCCCGCCAAACAACATGCCAGACGCGTTGCAGAAGCCCTCAAGGCGGCCGGCCAGGACGGATCAGGCGTCATCTATCTAGAGGGGACAAAAACTCGTATGGCAGAAGACAGCGACGAGGCCGTGCCATTCCGGTGAGCTACTTGCGCGAAATTGTGTTCTGTTTGGTGACCCCGCATGGCTCCCTTCGAAAAACCACCTCACTGATCGCATGGATATAGCCAACGTCGTAACTTTTACTACCTCTCCGGCTGCGATCTGAGCGATTCGTACGTGACCTACAACATTGACAAAGATGAGCTCGTTCTCTACATTCCTCCAGCGGACCCCGATGAAGTTATCTGGACCGGTTTGCCGATGAGCGCCGAAGAAGCCCTCAAAGTATACGATGTCGACGTGGTTCTGCCATCTACTGAGGTTAATGCCCAGCTTGCTCATTGCTGCGCCAATAAAGACTCCAAACCGAAGCGAGTCTACGCTATTCCGGACCGTGTTTGTCCCGAAACGACATTCCTCCCGTTCGACGACACCAACTGGGATGTTTTAGCCCAGGCAATCGAGCAGTGCAGGAAGGTCAAGGATGAATACGAAATTGCGCTTCTTAAGCGTGCCAACGAGATTTCCGCGCAGGCCCATCTTGCAGTGATGAAGGCGTCCAAGACGGCCAAGAATGAAAGGGAGCTGGAGGCTATTTTCCGCAGCACATGCTTGTATTATGACAGCCGACAGCAGTCGTACGGCCCGATCATGGCCCGTGGCGTCAATGGCGCGACGTTGCATTATCAGACCAACAACATGGATATCGATGACCCGGTCACAGGAGAGAGACCCAGTCTTCTCATCGACGCTGGCGGCGAATATCGGATGTATGCGTCTGATATTACCCGTGCGATTCCTCTCTCTGGAAAATTCTCCCCAGAAGCACGCCAGATTTACGACATCGTGCTGGACATGCAAATGCAGTGCTTTGGCATGATCAAGGCAGGCGTAGCATGGGATGATGTGCATGCGCTTGCTCACAAAGTTGCTATCAAGGGCCTCGTGAACTTGGGCATCTTGCGCGGCTCCGAAGAAGAGCTTTTCCAAAAGGGCGTGAGCGTTGCGTTTTTCCCACACGGTTTGGGCCACTATATGGGCATGGATACCCACGATGTCGGTGGGAATCCTAACTTTGCGGATCCAAACCCCATGTTTAAATATTTGCGCCTTCGGGGAACTTTGTCACCAAACGAGGTGGTGACCGTTGAACCTGGTGTATGTGACGAATCCTATGCCCCTAACCAATCCTTCTTTCGTCTCATAATACTAAAATACTGCCCAGGTATATTTCTGCCGATTCATCATTGAACCATACCTCAAGTCGCCAGAATTGAGCAAATATATCGACTCTGCTGTACTTGATAAGTACTGGAAAGTCGGAGGTGTCCGTATTGAAGACAACCTTGTCGTCACTCAAGACGGTTTCCAGAATCTTACTACCGTGCCCAAAGACGCTGAGGAGGTAGAGAGGATTGTACAACAAGGGTAGGCCCATATGTTGGGCGATGCTCCTGAATTCTTCAAGGGTACCTGCCTTTGTTCTTGTCAGTGTATGTATGTATGTAAACTCGCACATATGTAGATAAACGATATTTAAACGCGATGTGTTTTGGTGATGCACAACCTACTTTTTCTTTTGGGTACTTGGTATATCACTTGGCTAGACAGAAAATAAACAACAAAAATGGTTCATCGGAGCCAGCTAAGGGACAATCAATCAAGAAGTAAGTTGACATTCGAATTGAAAGGGAGGGACAGATCACTGACACACAAGGAATGAGAAGAAAGCGGACTGATGTCAACTTTGAGGGTATCGACGCCGATAAAAGGACACCCATACACAACTATAGTCAGGCTCTAGCACCAACATGATATTATTACACAAAGTTAATAATGAGTACACTTTATTGTTTCACTCAGAGCATCCTAGCTCTCTTTCTCGCGCTACCTTTAACAGCTGGGCTGGCTGTTTCGCGATCTTGAGCGCGCTTCTCCCTTTGATCCAATACGAGGCTAAGCACATCGAAACCGAACTGTGGGTACTGAAGACACAAGGTCCTGAAATCCGCCTCTGCCTCGTGACGCAAGACATGGCTCCGTGTGGCCCAGAAAGCGGCCACCGGTTTGCGGATCGTATCGTCCGCCTTGGTGTGAGTGTAGACATATTTGGCGTACTCGATTTCACCCTTGGCGGTGCTGTGGATGCGATGGATTTTCCCGTGGGCAAGCGATTTAAGCTTGTTGATACCGAGCTTCTCGGCCAAGGTGTATACACGGGCGTGCTTGAGGAGCTGTTGGCCGGTCTCATCGACCTCTGGTATCGCTGGATCTGTTTCGAGGCCTTCTGAGGGAGCTGCGAGACGTTTCGGAAAGTATTCACCTGTGTACTGATACTGAAGAAAACATCCGACAGTGTCTATGGATTCGTCTTCAAGGAAAATGCGACGCTTCAGTAAAAAAGTGTAACATGTTAGGAGGATCATGGGCAACATTTTTGCGAGAGGGATCTTGGGGTTTTGGCGCCTGAAATTGACGTACCGGTCCATCTTCGGGGAATTTTGATACTTCTTCAGCAAAATATGGGCTTAACGTCAAAATCGCTTGATGCGCCGTTAAGACTGTCTGCTCCTCTCCTTTGCCAACGACTAACTCCACGATCGGGGATTTCAGGTAGCTGGGCTAGGTCAGAAGCTGCGCGCTGAAACCGAACACGATGGCTGTAGGTTTGGGGATCAAATCGATTTGAAAGTACCAGTAAACCAAAGCCTTATCTTCATTCTCGGTTTATAAATGAGAAATCCTTACTCTAAGAATTGGTTCTCTTTGCTGTTCTCTGGCGATTTCGCTGTCGCATCGTTTTCTTCCGTCGGCGCCGGGTCAGCTGCGGGTTCCGCATCATCGGCAGGCTGAGACTGGGGAGCCGGCGTCTCGCTTGCGCCTGTCATTTCGACATCTTTGCTGCCTCCGACCTCAATTTCAACCCGGGGTTCAGCCATGGTCTTTAGCGACGGGGGCCCGTTTGAGCTTGCTAGCTTCGAGCTGGCGACAAGAGATGAGGACTCCGTATATATCCGTAATTATGGTAATTGGTAGGTCAATTGATATGGTCAGCCTCGAGAACAGGAACTTGGACGGATATCCAGGTAAAAATGGCCTATATATCACCGGCGCCTGTGAGGCCAACAAGCTGCCATCTCGCTGTTCCTGCCACAAGCTCCAAAGCAGCAAACTGCCGCCCTTGACCGCCTCACTAGCTACGGGACCCCTGACCCAGCCACTAGATTAGGTATTTAGGGGCTTGGCAGATACTGAGCCACATTTATTATGACTAAGCCAGAGCCTGATAGGACGACGACTTCCAAAGCCATGAGAAGGATGAGGTGGTTGGGGTCGTACCATAGCTTTGATTTCTGGAGAACGACGGCGTTTGGGATGGATAACATCGGAAGCCAGATGTTGAATACCTGGGACAGGCAGAAGAGCTGCCCTGTTCCCATGGTTCGGACTGCAATGGTTGACATCACAACCCAACTCACTTCTGGACCTATATAACTAGGTCAAACGCTCTACATCTGCAATGTGTTGTTATACGGAAGGACAACTCCTCAATATCTGCTCATTGTCGTCTCTAGCCTCGATATAAACATGGGATTTCGCTTTCTGATTCCTTCAAAGAAGAGGTCGAAGCCCTCGTCTCCACTGCCCGCAGACCTGCCCCCAATCTACCGATTATCCCAAGACTTGATACTCTATCTCCTCGAGTCTCTTCCGCCTCCGGATGCGGCCGCTTTTGCACTCACCAGCCAGGCGGTATGGCGGGCATTGGGCGGCTTGCCGGACTTTCGCAAGTTAGTATCCCAAATCGATCAGGGCGAGCGCAGGGCTTTCTTGAGTCGCCTGGAACAATATTATCCCAATCATGTCTATTGCTCCCAGTGCATCATTTTTCATAAGCAGGACAAGAAGAGATATGTCTGTCGGCCCCATCCGTTCGGTAATGAAATATTTGGCGACTTAACTGTCCGTGATGTGCGCTTTGAACGCTTAGATATCCATGTGCCATTCCTCAAAGCCAAAGAGATTATGAACCGTCATCGGTATGGGGAACCACATGGATGCCTACCCACTGTCATGGATTTCAACTGCCGAATAAGATGCCTCAACTTCAAACACAAAGAGGAATACTCGGACCCGCCTAGGTATTTCTCTCTCACCGCTCGGAGCGCTCATGATAAGCTACTCCTCAGGGCCGACGTGTCTGTATTTATTCGGCCAAAAGACTTTGAAGTGAACAAATCTTCCGTTATTGTGTCATCTCTTTACGACTCTACCCATATGCAGCGCCCTGGCGGCGCCTGGAAATCCCTTTTAGAGTCTTTCGCCGGGTCGAACGAGAGTACGCTATTTGTTCGATGCTCGAGTTGCTTGGCTGAGATGCGCTGCATTGTTAATACACAGAAAAACCAAAAGTATTATGAAATCAGGAATACAACGTGGCATAACTTGGGGCCCTGCCGTGATTCGTTTGATCGCAAATGGCGTACGGAGACGGAACACTGCTGCGACGACTCTTCCAATGCTATATCTCCGGCTGAGTCATTTTATCTTGCTCATTTCGACGATAAGGCCTCGTCTCAGCTAAAAATCAAGCAACCTCCCTGTTGGCTTTCTCTCTATCCTAAATTATGTGAGTCTTGAGGGGTTATTGGGATCTCGGCGGTGGTTTTGCAGACTAGAGACTCTCTCGCGGATAAGAGTCTTAATTTTTAATAATGAGGGGTTGGAGGCTTCTTGTTGGCAATGGTTGACTCCTTGAAGAGCACTGAATTGGAGTGAAATAATTTTATCAAGATGGGATACTTAATGCAATGTAAAACTATATCGTACATTAATTAAACGTCTTCGTACCTATTCGACGTAGATGCTCAGTCCGTCTTTGTAGGTTCTTGCTCCGTGGGTTTCTCAACGAACGGCTCTGCAATGCCCTTACTCTCAATATCAACCAATATCTCTTTCTTTTGGTTCACTCTAAATATGCCCTTCTCCCCTCCAACCGCATGTGCCATAGTCGTCTCCCTCTAACGGCGCCAGTTCACCCAGGACCTTTCGCATATACAACACAATTTGTGCAATCTTACTCCAGTCAATGTCCTCTCCGCGACCCTGCACATCCGTATACGATCCTTTGTACAAATTTCTCCACACTGCCGCTGCAAGGACGGCATCCCCTTTGACAAGACCCTCATCATATGCTGCTAAAACACCACGCCACTGAAGGAATAAATCTTTGAGGTATTTGACGCGGATGCTACGGGACGTAATACCGTGCATGACATCCATACGATCTTCGGCGTTGTTTGAGAAGTGGTCGAATAGGTGGCGTGAGAAGGTCTGAAACGATTCGGGGGATGGAAGAGCACGTAGGCGAACGGTTATCAGGTACATGTGTAGAAACGTGACTTGGGACCATGAGGAGAATGTTGGGAGCAGTCCGAGCTCTATCTCATGTGTTCCGTCAGTGTTGGATTTTCAAGCTTCAAAAAAAAAAATCTTGGGGCCCGCGTCTAGTTTTTAGCATCCAGAGAAAGGAAGACGTACCTTCATACCACCAACCCTCCCCTACACCGAGATCCTCTCCATTGGCAGTCTTGGGGATTTCAGCACCTCGTTCCGAGATTTGTGGAATCTTATAATCTGCCTGCGCCGAGCAGGCCTCAAAGAGTTTCTTTGTGATACCATAGGCCACGTAAGTCTCAGTTGAGCGTAAACCGGCGGCTCTTTGACGCCCTGCTACAGGCGGTTTAGGCAAAGGTGTGGGATCTTGCAGAGGGGGTGGTTTCTGGGCGTTCGAAGTAGACGCATAACGGCGCGGTGACGGTTTTGATAATCGATCGGAGAACCAAGGACGCTGGGCAATGGGCTTTTGCAAAGATTCGAGGTGGGATTCAAATGGAACGAATCTCACATCCTGGAGCATGAGAGCGATTAGCGCACCATATCAACTCCACGTAGAACGATTGGTGTTTACCTGAAGGTTTCGTGGTAACTGAGACAGTGATCGGACAAAAGGTCGCGACGCCATAGAATAATAGTAAATTGATTCAAACTGATGGATTGTAATAATATTGAAGCTGTTCGCCGCAGGATCATTTCAAACTTGGGATCAAAATGATTTCGACGTCAAGGATCGATGTTTGCATTGTTTGTTTGCCTTATCAGCTGGGATCATTTCGCTGTGATGGCAAGAAGGAAAATTAGTTGGTCAATGCTACGTCTATCTCAGTATACTTGGACCTTGACCTTCGCCGGCGAGTGTCCGTATGGTATCTTACAACGATGCACCGCGTTGATTGAAGTTCTGTACTGCGAATGAGGAAAAACCTTGCACAGGAAGCGAAATGGAGTCGCCAAATACGCCGCAAAATCATGTTGTACTTGATAATCTCAGTTTAGCTAGGCAGCACAACCCTCTCCAGGCTGCTGTCCACCAACGGGAGTATCTCCGTTAATTTATTTGGGTCTCGCATCATTGCTGGTATATCTTCCCGCGTCGCAGCCAATGTCTGTGACCAAATTAGGTTGACTATGCTATTGGGCGAAGCTGAGAGAACTTTCTTACCTGCCGGACTGTATCATACTGTTCTTCTTTTGAGAGGTATTCCCTGACAACTTCCTTCGTTTCGAAATCTATAAAGACCCTTGTGTCTCGAATGCGAAAGAGAACATTGTCCAGTCGCATGAAGAATCGGGAGAGTAGGAGAAGGCAGGATGGCATTACTCTTATCTTGCAGGATAACATAGAGATCCCATTGTCGGCCAGCTCGTCTTCATATAAAATCACGTCATCAAAGAAAAGTATCGGATCGGGCCTTTTTAAGCGGTCGATCGGCAGAGGTATCGTCGAAGTTTCAAACTCGTTTCCGTTCGAGGATACAGTCCCCTTATAATCTGTCGTATAAGACCAGTCAAAAGGCTTCACAACTTCTCTTATGCCCTCATGTGTCTGCTCTCTGAGTTCAGGGGGTTAGTAAGGAATAGGATTCTGAAGATGGTCACAGCGCACCGGCTCTTCTGCCACTCTCTCGAATAAGCCACTTTCAGTGCACGTTGTCCGGTCTTATCCACGCGATCTAGCGCATCGAAAGCGTTAAAATTGATTTCCCATCCAGATTGCGGGTGTTCGATTGATACTAAGTTGTCTCCGAATATCATTTCTGGCGGGGCAATTCCTAACTTGTTTGTCATCTCGTCAATTGGGCCGGCTTTGAGAATAGGCAATTTCCGCGTTGTTATCTGGAAACCGTTTCTTGTAATCGCATTGGAATTGGAGGGAGAAGGGAATTTAGTATCAAGCTGGCGGCCTGAGCCAGCGCGCGGCGGGACTGCACAGTGTTCCGCCATGATATCTTCCCTGCAGTTTGAGAGGCGACAATGAACAGGCTTTCAATTTTGACACGGTCTCTAGGGATAGAAGTAGGCGAAGTTGAAAGGTATTGGTTTACTTTGAAAGCGAAAGGGTTTGTTCCCCATGCCGGCCTCGAACCTCATCATCGCGATCTTCACCCCACTGAATGCCAAGACAGGCCTAGGATGATGACAAAGGGGGGTGTTGCTATGGCGACGAGCGGGCTCCCGGCTGGTAAACATTGAATGCACCCCGAACCCACGAACTTCTTCGTATCCGCTCAATGAATATTAACCGTCTACCTTTGCCCATCCTTAGCTGTTGCAACATTTTCACTTCTTTTCTTGCCTCATAAGCCTCGTTCTGTGCTTTCACTGTCTAATTTGCACTTTGCGAACACTCTCCTTGCATTCCGTCTCAACTATGGCGACCAAAGCACTAGAATCGAGATTTGAGCAATTATCCGTCAACGATGAAAACCTCCCTCCAAGTAGTCATAGGGACTACGAGAAGCCCAAGGTATGACCATACAGAACCCTGGGGTCATCTACGAAGACACTGACGAGTTTCCAGGCTGCGTTGCCAAAGACCATCTCGATATCTGGATTGTCAAGCGCTAGCCAGGCTTCACTTAATGCCAACCGCGCAAATCTCTTGAAATTTGCTTTGCAAAACAATGAAGGGAGGCTACACCCGAATGCCGCTTCTCCTCGTAAAAATAACTCTGGATCCGCCGAAGAGGGAACCCCCTCACACCCACTTTATGACCAACCATCCGCAAAGCAATGGCATCTTGGAATGTTCGAGATTGGCAAACCGCTTGGGAAGGGCAAATTTGGACGAGTGTACCTCGCACGAGAGCGGTCTACTGGATTCGTCTGCGCTTTGAAAGTCCTTCACAAGCACGAGTTGGTGAAGGGAAGAGTCGAAACGCAATTGCGGCGAGAGATCGAGATCCAGAGCAACCTCAGACACCCCAATATTCTACGGCTTTTCGGGCACTTCCATGACTCTAAACGAGTATTTCTAATACTTGAGTTTGCCGGAAAGGGAGAATTGTACAAGCATCTCCGAAAAGAGAACCGCTTTCCCGAATGGAAAGCCGCACAATATATCGCACAGATGGCGGCTGCACTGAAATATCTCCATAAAAAACACGTTATGCACCGTGATATTAAACCAGAGAACATCCTTGTTGGGATTCACGGAGAAATCAAGATCAGTGACTTCGGTTGGAGCGTCCATGCCCCCAACAACAGAAGAAAGACCATGTGTGGTACTCTCGACTACCTGCCACCTGAAATGCTCAAGCCAGGAACCCAAGATAACTACTACGACGAAAAGGTAGACTTATGGAGTTTAGGTGTGCTCACTTATGAATTCCTCGTTGGCGAGGCCCCTTTCGAGGATACACCGCTTCTGACTCGGCGACGGATTACTCGAGGTGATATGACCATTCCATCTTTCGTAAGCCCAGAGGCAAGAGATTTAATCAAAAGAGTAAGTGGAGTTTTTGGGATTATTTCTGGGTATCAAACTGACTGTAAACCAGTTGCTCGTCCTTGATCCTGCTAAGCGGATTCCACTAGACGAGGTTCAAAAACACCCGTGGATCGTCAAGTATTGTATCAAGGGAGAACGAGCAACACAACGGAGTATGGGCAAAGAAGGAAAAGCATGAGCGTGGCTCCTTTCTGTATCCCTTCTACCTTCATTGAGGCATTCCTGGAGTTAGGATCTTCTTTTCTATCGGATCATATCGTGATCGTTAGCGTGTGGAGTTTCGAGTTGGTTAGTACAGCGCACGAAAGTTGTCGTTATTTCAGTCATCTCATGTTACATGGAGTCTATGTTCCCAAATTCAATATTTCGCCAGTAATTGAGGATTCGTCATTGCTATGTAGCTTGGACGTTCGTCACCGATAGATCTCATCAAACGGTCTGGTATCTCGAAAACAACTATCCCAAACTTCGTTGACTACCTGAGTTGCTTGCTGCTCATCCTTGCAAGCTGGTCTCGCCTGGACAGATAATATAGCTCTCCGCCGCACGCATTCTTGGTGGTGCTGTGTAAATTTCCATTGCGACCGAGTGAAGAACTCTCTCGCCCATCGACATTCACCGCTTAGATTACTTGCGCGAATCTGCAAACGTCACCATTAGATATCATCCGTCATACTCCTATGTTGTTTCAGGGATTATACCTCCGCACATGCAGCGTGCCGTAAATTATCGTCCCAATCGACTTTGAATCTCATGTGGTCGTATGCGTGAATCATTTCATGAGCCAGCGTATCTTCCAGATGCCCTTGATTTCGCATCTCATTGGCGCAGATCTGAATTCCGTAATCTGGATCGAAGCCGCCGGCTTGCCGGTGTTTACACCGTCGACAGAATATGTTGTGGTTGGAAATATTGCCGCCGAGTTGTTTGATGTTATCTTGGATAAAGCGGATTATAGGACCTAGAGGTCGGACGGCGGAGAGTTAACGGAGACCTTGAGAAATAACAGGACGCGATGCAGCTGCGAGGCCTTACTGTATTGAAGGAGGTAATCTCGTTGGTCTTCGCAGCGTTTGCAATCTGCTTTTTCGTTCCTGATGTCTGTCGCAATACGAAACTTCTCCATTCCTTCTGCCGTCATCTTTCCCGTAAGACCTCGCCAAAGGTTACGGCATATCGTCCAAGCATCGTCGCCAGGGATGTATCCGTTGTCCTTTTGGTTGTTCGAGGAGCTTGAACTGGAACTGGTCGGTTGCGATTCTGCCATTGAATACAAATATATATCTCCCAAACGCCTACCTAGCAAATCAACGGTGTATAAAGTAGATTTGTCTGAACTTTGCAGAAAGATCAACTCCCAATGCATGTGCTTCACGGTCTTGCGCAGAGATAATTTACGGCGGTGACAGGTGGCAGAATATCTCGACAAACCTTAAGGAATGCGTGAATATTCAGCTGTCAATCCAAAATTCCACAGTGGGGAATCTGCGGGATTCGACCGATCTAACCTCCTATGATATCAGATTCGGTGTTTAGCGGTGTGCTGCTTTTATATTTTACCTGGATTATTTCCTGGAGGCGGGTTTCGTGAAAAGCGCATGGATAGCTGATATGCGAGCCTGTCCACATAACAAGGTACAAGATGAAGGGTACCACGAAACCGTTGACGATTGTGATCAAGCTCGGTGAGTCGAGAGTATCGAGTGTCTGCAAATGACACGACAGCTGAGACCAATGGCATATATCAGGGACGAGTTCAATTGTCGATGAAAACACGCGGGAACCCATCCTTTCAATACTCACTCTAATCGTCGAAACAGCGGCAAAACTATTGAAGGATGGTCACCAAGTTATTATCGTCTCGTCCGGCGCAATTGGAGTCGGGCTCCGGAAAATGGACATTGACCAAAGACCCAAGCATCTCCCCCGCGTTCAGGCATGTCCTTCTCTTCCAACTGGGAAATCGAGTTGGGCGAGACTAACAGTCCGGTGCTAGGCTCTTGCCGCGGTTGGACAATGTCAGCTTATGAGCTTGTGGGATAGTTTGTTTGCGCACCTTCGGCAGCCCATTGCTCAAATATTATTGACACGGAACGACATTGCGGACGTAAGCTCTGGCCTAAGCCCCGGTTGAATCAGAATACTGAATGCTAGATAAGAGGACACAATATACCAACGCCCAAAATACATTCGCTGAATTATTGAAGATGGGTGTGATCCCCATTGTAAACGAGAACGATACGCTTGCTGTTTCGGTAGGGCATATCCAGAACGTTCCCCCATATGACCCCTTGTTGACTCGCAACTTGTTTTCTAGGAAATCAAATTTGGCGACAACGATACTCTTTCGGCTATTACCGCCGCTATGGTCGGGGCTGATTATCTGTTCCTGATGACTGATGTCGATGGGCTATATACGTCCAACCCACGAACTAACCCTGATGCCCAGGTTATTGAAGTTGTGGAGGACATCTCCTCTCTTGACGTGGACGTGTCAACAGCTGGTTCTTCACTGGGCACGGGAGGCATGAGTACTAAAATTGTGGCAGCCCGATTGGCATCAAGCGCAGGCGTCACCACAGTCATCACTCGCAGCTCCCTCCCCGGTAACATCTCAAGATAGTAGAATATCTCGAAGATAAGAAACGTTCCTTGTCTCTTATCGAGGGGGAACCGACGGGACAAATTCAATTTCGTACCGCGCCGTTACACACCCGTTTCGCGCCTCACAGCCCCGATGCAGTCAAGATCGTTTTGGATCCTTCCATGGACTTTACACCCCACGGAAACGCTCTATATAGACTACGGGAGCCTACTGCGCCATCTTGAACAAAAGCAAGTCTTCTCCCCGCGGGCGTTGTGGCAATCGAAAGGACACTTCTCCCAACAAGAAGCGGTACGACTGGTAGTTGTCGAACGCCGCTCTCCGTCCGCCCTCAACGGAGATTTCCAGCATCATGGCGAAGAACCAAAGGAAGTCGGACGAGCGCTTGTGAACTATGGCAGCGCGGAAATCGCCCGGATAAAGGGGTCGCGGAGTACGCAGATACAGGCGATTTTGGGCTATGCGGACAGCGAATATGTCGCCTTGCGTGAGAACATTTTTTTTTTCCACATGATGGATCGACCAAGCCGACCTGGCACGCCGGGCTTGGATGAAATGATGGTTCGAAGCGGTGCGCAGTCCCCGGCGATTGAGAAGCTTCTGGCTATCTAAGGGGAAATTCTGTTTTCTTTTTCTTTTTTTTTTGTACTTCTGACGTTCCGCTTCGGCGTGAACAGTGGCGTATCGGGTCACCTATGCCGTTCAACTACTCATATTTTCCAGCTTTTGCGATTCAACACGAGATGTTACTATTCACGAAGGTTTAGGGTTTAGTTATAGAGGCGTTTTCTTTTTTTTTTAGGTCATGACAACCACGGAGCTCTTCGCATTGATAACAAAAAGGAGACTGACGAGAACTCAAGTATTGTACCAAATCTTTTATGGGCCTGAACTGTAGATTGATACATAGCTTCATGCTCTCCCAAACCCAGTGCCAGAGGTCAAAAACGAAAGGGCAATCATCTTGACAGAAACCGCATGCTCATCTATCCTTGACCAGAACGCCCCGATCCCAGAGTTATGCAC